ATACTTGGGAAACTAAAAATGTTAGATTAATTTAAATTGGATTTAAAAATAATGGATACAATTTTATTGTTGGACTCAACAAAAATTGAACCTTATGTATTGGACAAAATATGCTCTTGTAACCAGATTTTTACACTATAAACCAGTGATTCCCAACCATATTTATTCTACGCCCCCTTTGTAGATTTTCAAAAATCTCGCCCCCCCCCCCTATTAATTGAAAAAATTATAATTTTATGTTTCCTTATTACATTTTACAAATAAACTATATAATATTCGGAAAGACTACTTTTTTATTGATGATAGTAATTATAAAATATAAATCATTGTAAATAATATAGTATTATAGTGGAATTATAAATTGACGTGAGTAATTAAATAAATTAGTAAAAAATATAAATAATAGAATGTATATTAAAATTAACATTTAATGTGAAGGCTGACAACACTTTTCTTTGGACAATTTTTTAAAGTTCGGCTCGATGTTTGATAAAGAACTCCTCAAGTCAGATTTGACATCCAAGCTATTTCTATGTTTGGTTTTTATAATGGCCAAGCTGGAGAACCCAGATTCACATAAATAAGTTGATGAAAATTGTACAAGGACTTGTAAGGCTTCATTTGAAATTTCAGGATAAATGGGTTGGTATTTTACCCAAAACTCTTCCAAAGAGCTGCCACTGTTAAAATCAATTTTTGCGCGTGAACGATCTTCAGCTCAATTTTCTGTTCTTGAAATGTATCCATCAATGTGTCTATGTTAGCACTGAATGGACAACTTGTTAGCGTATAATAAACTAATCTAATAGTTTTTTCCCCTGGCTTTCTCTTATCCTACTGATTAATTTACGGACGATGTGGCTTGGTGCACTATAGCTAAACACGTGTAATCTTTATCGACTTTAACGACCCTATATTCTATAACCTATAACGATAACCAGTCTTTACTCTTTATTCATTTTTCATTTTTTCTCTTCATTTTAAATATAATAAAATTTGATAAATAAAAATGTTACTTTGTGATGACTGCTTGCGCCTCCCCAGCGATGTGTATATGTCCCCCAGGTTGGGAACCACTGCTATAAACCAACAATTGAAATAAATACTAATTAGTAATTATTCAATTTTATTCAAGCTTATATATATATATATATAATTCCAATATCAGATGTATTTTTACATATATATTTTATTTTTATTCAAAGCGTTTGAACTTCAAACCCCTTACTAACATTTTTAAAATTTAATGTATTTCTATTTTATATCTATTACAATATTTGTAAACTATTTTTTTTTTACAGGAAATCATAAATTGGTTTCATTCGTTCGATATAAATCAAGAATTACCAGATTCCAATGCTCTATCTCAACATCAATCAGTAATGACATATGCAACATTACCTGTAAATAATGATTCATCAGTATCCAAACGATTGATTATTTGTCTTCTAGCTGCATTAAGAGCTAATGGTATTAATATAATAATTTATAGTTGCTTTATTATTTATAAAAGTTATAAATTTGGTTTATTATATTGTAATACTTAATAATATGTTAATACATCTATAGGGTCATTCGGTGTACATGTACCCTTGAGAACAAAAGATCAACAAACATTGGAATTTTATACAAAAATGGGATTTATGGAAATTTCGCAGGGGTCTAATCTAAATCCTGGTTTTACATACTTAGGACGTGTTTTTTGAAATATTCTTCATTCTTACATTGGCTGCCAATAAATGTTAAATATATGAATGAAAATGCATACATGATGCCATTAAAGTAATAATTTTAATTTATTGATGTTAAATAAATTATTTTACTTGTTATTACTAATTTCAGTAAATGCTTGTATACAAAGTAGTCCAGTTTAGGTTACCCAAGTTATTTGAAGAAAATTTAAATTTTCAAGAGCTTTAATATATTTTTATTTTTTCAAATTCATTTGTAAGTGTTAACATTACATAATTGATAATTTTATAAATAGTCTGTCATTTTTTTCATTATTTAATATTTTAGTTATTTTAAGGTCTTATTACATTTTGTATGTTGTTTTGTATGAAAATAAAATAAATTTTTTTGTATGACTACAATTTAAAAATATTGTTTTGTCTATTTTTCTTGACTACATTTTAAGGATTAAATATTTATTTTATAGTAACATACTTAAATATGATACTTAATTCTTATCAAATATATAATATTTTTATTTATACTATTTTCAATTAATTTCTATTTTGCTTTTTATTCAAAACTTATTTTGTTGCAATCCTTAATATATTTGCTGATGTCATTCATTTTTATTTAGTCATTACTAATGACCTGTTTATTATGACAAGTACTGTGTGTCAACCTTTCCAATTTAAAATAAACATATACATATTCCTTTTCTTTGTTAAAAGAGTGATAGCTTATGTTAGTTAAAGCTTAATAAAAGTGCATCATTTTTATATCTATGGTCTAGTTGGAATTCTCTTGTTGTGTGTTTACTAGTGTAGTATTATACTGCTTAAAACTTGTACCAAAGAAGATTAGTATTGACTATTAAGTATGTCATCTCCAAGTGTTTATCAATCCTTCCGTAAAATTAATATAATATCTCGAATATTTGGTGTCATGCCATTGAAAATGGTACCAGGAGACCAGATAAGTGGTCCTATTTGTTTAATATCTACATTTGATTATGTATACTCAGTTGTTTTACTTATTGTATCTATTGCGCATGGGATATTGGCTCCGTTTTATGTGTTGCATACAATCATGCCATATGCGTATCAACACTCAATGTTTACAGTAGGATCAGATGTGCAACAACCCGTCAATGCAATGGAATCAATAATCGATGAAGAAGAAATCAGTGAAATGGCTACTGTCATGAAAATTCTTAATCCAATTATGATATCCTTGTCTAGTATTTGTAGCAGATTGGTCGCACTCACATTTCTCCACCGCAGGTTTAGTGAATTTATTACAGTTTTGCACAACACGGATAGACTGATGGATGTTACCATCAAGTCACACATTTCCACTGCAAGCAAGACATTCCTACAAACCATTGACAAGTATCTGTTATGATATTTTGCCCTGATTGGCGTACCAGTGAATATTTTTTATATATATACTGTGTCAGCCGTAAACAGCAAGGCTGGTATTGTATGGTGTATTATACTTGCATTCAATAATATGGCCTGTTTTAGCACAGACATGCAGTTTATCCGTTGTGCATGCATGTTGCACTATCGTTTTAGAGTCATTAACAACCAGCTCGAGACATTTGCATCCATATGGAATTTTAAACGTGGGTTAGTGTAACTACCTAAAAATATATTTTGATTTTTTAAATTTCATTAATATCGAATTATTTTTAAATTAATTTGTGTGTTGTAAAAAGGTAAAAAGGTACCTTGTAAAAAAGTAATAACCATTTAAAGTTTACAGTATACTAAATAAAATTATGAACTTTTGTCTATTGCCTTACGATTAATGTTAAATGAGAAGATACCTAACTTTATATTCATATTTTGAATCCTGGGAAATCTGATTAATCTATAACGTCTATATCTGATCATTTACTATATAATAATAGTAGGCAGTTGTAGGCTCGAAGTATAGAACAATAAAATGCTCGAAGTAGTTATGTGTCTATTCACGATTCACTAGGTGTGAACTGTATAATTATGCATCGTGATAATTAAGAACAGTTATAAACTTATAAATAAAACTTATTTTCAGTGCTTTGGTTGAAAGAAAATCTTGTCAATCGTTTTTGAGTGAACTATCATATGGCCACAACATATGTGATTCTATCGAAATGTATAGGTAAGTCGTAAGTACATTGTTCATATAGTGCATGCTTCATAGCCAATAGGTAGGTTTGATTACATTCGAGTTATTTGAAATAACTGTTGAACGGATTTCCAAAAAATCAGAAAAGGATCAAAACATTTTAGTCATGGTGATTGAAAAAATTAAGGGGGCATAGCCCCTATTGTCCACATTGAACATTATTTTCAGAGAAATTGCATGAAAAATTTAGTAAATATGTTTATTGGGATCTTCTACACTCAGTGGTTGAGAACCACTGCACCACTAAACGTCTACAGTACCCATATTATATTCTTTTCTATTAGGTAGTGTACCTATGACCTACCTACCCTTTAATTCTGATATTTGGAAATATCTGAAAATTGGTAAAATATCTATAACTTACCCACAGAAGACAATTATATGGTTGTTAATTGTTATTGTATCGAATTCTTTCATCGTTGATATATTTTTGGCTATTTAGTAACAATTAATTAAACGAGGTACACATAATATATGGGTGTACAATTATTTAAATATTAAATAGGTAAACAAAAATAAAAATATATATATAGGTACCGATAGTACTATGGTAATGTCTGAAACAAAAAGCACCTGAGTGGAATAGAGAAGAATAAGAAATAATTTTGTTTTAAACCTTTCAAAAATTATCAACGGAATTTTCGTGTAAATCCATGTCGTGGAAGAAGATGGAACTTAGTTTCTGCGTTATTACTTATATAGCTAGATATTAACTAGGTATATCATTTAACATGTTGTGTTCCTGATTATAAAGTAACAGTTAAAAACAATTGCTATAGCTATAGGTTTTTAGCTCCGCTAAATCGATTTCACATGTAGCTCAAAGTATAATTTACCTATTTTCTTGATTCTTACAGAAATTGATTGACTGACAAATAAAACATTTGTTTTTCTTAGATATTGTTATGGACAATTTTGCAACATGGTGTGCCAATTAAATTCTACATATCAATTGCATCTTTTGGGATGCATTTCAGCATGTTTTTTAAAAATATTGTTCAATCTGTATTTTTCTATGTTTGGATACGTCATTGGTACTAATGGTCAAAGAGAACAAGATGAACTAATAAGAGCTATCTTTTGGAATGTATTTTATGGAATGAGATTCTTGACCATCATTTATGTAGCTAATGCTACGTGCAAACAAGTAAGTCTGAGTACTTAGTCAGTAACATGTAAACAGTAACTATACTCAATACTTAGGTGTGCGACATATAACCGTGGTTAGTAGTAGGACCTGTGCTAGTTATTATTTTTAAATACAGGCGTTATTCAGTTTTTAATTTCTACATAATTTGATTATTCTTCAAAAAATACCACTCTCTGTCATTGGAGTTAATCTTTAATATGGTTAAAAACCATTTTTCCTTGTTTAACCGACAGCAGAGAAGGCTGTGTGTGAACAATTATACTATTCTTCTGTTGACTGCTGCCATCGTTTATTTATGCCCAAATTCTGCAAAAATAGCGTAATGCAAACTGCAGTATACATATTACACATGACATCCGACAATTGCATTTTACGAACATTACCTTACATAATAATGATTAACATTATAATTTATAAGAATGGTGCGCCGGTCTATTCCCGGCCCGTGTTTTCAAGGTTCTCGTTTTTCTAGACCCCGTTTGTCTGAGAAGGGCTCAGTCAGTCGGATATGACTAAAAACCTGAACCATAGAAGTTTTAATTAACACTTTTAACATAATTTAATATACTGACGAGTGACGAGGTTTAGTTAGAAAATATTTAGGGGGTCTTGGGGAGTATTTTTTGAGAGAGCGGGTCAGCATTCACCCTGTTATCCACCCATTTTTTTTTGTTTTCAAAATATCAACGAGGTCCAATTTTCTATCAAAAACTGCCCTCAGAGTAAGTTGAAGATCGAATCATTTTTTCTTCTATAAAACTTGTAGGTGTTTATACATAATTGTAAAATCAATATCTAATATTTATTACATTTATTATTTTAAACATATTGATTAAATTCGTCAATGCCTAAATTAAAGGATTAAAATGATATTAGAATAAAATACACATTTGACTGCAGAAAACTAGGTAATTAAGTAAATTAATAATTTTACTTCATGATTAAAATGCGATCATTTTTCAATGTCTATGACTAGTTTTGTTTAGATTTATTATGATTATTAATTAATAATTATAAAATATATTTTTATTTTTTAGTTATTTTTAATTATTTTAATACACGTAATACATTGATCATATTGGCATATATTATGACAAATTCCACCTATAGTATCCAGTAGTACCTGTCATATTATAAGGTAATCATTAAAATAGAGACTGCAAATCGATAACTATTCACTATATTATGTTCGTGTTAGGTATTATAGGTAGGCACTTATATAGAATTCGTAGTGATGTCGATCAAAATATTGGTATTGACGCGTCGTACAGTTGAACCGTCTTGTTTATTATAACGAGTTCATACCTAACAAAATAAGTAAAACACAAGTGATTATTCCATGTAATCGTTAAATATTTTTCTAAAAATGTTCTTATAGGTAAATAACTTAAATTATTTTAATGGTCGCAATGTGGGTAGGTAAGTATTGTAAGAACTTGTACGAATCAAATAGTATGCAGGGTTAAAATAGCTAGGTAGGTATGTCAAAGCGTGCAAACTATGTCACTGTGGTTGCAATGTTTTTTAATCTGTGTAACATAAAAAATATATTTCAATATAATTTTTCTGAAAAATGTCAAATTATATTTTCTATCGTGATAATCATTACGTGTGTGTTCAACTTGATCAGTGCACCGCTGGTCGTGCCGTGCGTGGTCGACGACTGGTCTGACGTGTTGTCGACATCATTGACAGTAGTGCAGTCTAGGGTAGTGGCCGTCGCTTCATTTCTATCCAGAGCAATCGTGTTGTACAACGTGTATTTTAATAAGTATCAAAAGTACAAGACGACGTTGGAGAGTTCTAACATCTACTCGCCAATGACCGCCGCCGCTTGGAGCCAGTATAAATTGTATTCACTCGTGACCGCATCGTTGTGTCTGATTTTCATGCTGCCAACGAACTTCGTAAAACTGTACAGCATGTACTACAAACACCTCGATGGGTCCCTATTGGTGGTGCATTTCTTCTTCTTTTACTTACAAAATTTCAGCATGTACTTGATCGAAAACGATTTCGCCAATCGGTGTTTCGTGGTGTACTTGACGTTCCGAAACATTAACGACGATTTGAACAGGATGAAAACCGAGCATATCGACCGCGACAGATTTCCGTTCTTCGGGAAAGATGAAGGTGACCCGTGGTCGAATGCTGCACCGTCGTCGACGTCGCGTGTCGTCGTTTACGATAAAGATTTTTACTGTCCAAGGGACAAGGCGCACCCTTTGACCAACATCGTGGAGATCTTGAAAATCAGACACTGGTTAACCCGCGAAGCCGTAGTCGACATAAACTATCTGTTCGGAAATCACTTAGGATTGTCGATACTCTCCTTGGGCGTTCTTGTATTGTTGGACGTATACACCGGCGTGTTCCACTCCTTTGCTAATAACCGCGTGGATAAGAAAATATTTCGATCGACGCTGTTATTCTTCAGGGTACTGCAGTACTCTTATAGGTTCTGTGTAATTACTATCCTTTCAAATGTAACGGCCAAAGAGGTAAATTAAAACTTGTCTGTAGTCTGTACGATGTACCTAAATTATAGTTCTGTAAGACTGTAAATATTCTGTAAATATTATAGCTGCGTGCTTGTGTCTCAGTTGATTAATAACGATTAATGAAGGTTGGGGTGCATTTGAGTTCAGAACTCATGATTACGATGAAAAAAAAATGATTAGACGCTTACTTAGGTCCAACGTTCAACATTTGTGATTTATGTCAAATGATGAAAAAAAAATCTGAACTTAAGAATATACAATTTAGTCGTTTAACCTAACCTATGTACCTACATTAATATCGAAACTCTAGGTTTAATTTGTTGATAGACAATCGCAACCTGTAGCTATACTGGCTGCCATTATTCATTAATGAATTGATTAATTATTTTGTTCTAGGCGGTGAATGCAAAAACATTAATAACTGATATAAACAATAGGTATTTGGATACTAGTACACAGGAAGAGGTGAGGATACATATAATAATATAACATAATTGTTTTTCATTGTTAATTTGTATTAATGAAAACCGATTAACTTACTATAGCTTCAACTTTTCTACACTCAAATATCTAGTCGTTGCATTGAGTTCACTGCTTGTGATTTATTCACTTTAAACACCCGTCTCATCACTTCAGTAAGTATAGGTACTTTTAATTTATGGTAAGAACGAAAAATGTCTTGTTTAAATGATTTGTTTGTTTTGTATAGGCTATAGCTGCTGGTGCCACTTATCTAGTTATTTTAGTGCAATTTCATTCTGGAAAAAATTAAATCTATTAACATTTTGCATACCTACTCAATGAAGTGTTTAAATTTACGCGTTTGATTTATGCGAACGATCACGATGTAATAAATAATATAGATTATAATTTTTAGACAATATATATTTAATACTAGGTATAACTTGGAATATTGTTTTATTAGAATCATCCTTTAAGTATTTGATTCTTCGGAAATGTCCAAATTTTTTTTAGAACTATTGCATCTATAGAAAAGGTGCAGGCTGCAATGTTACCGGGTACCGGTCAGTGGTTTAGAATATTTTAGTATGCTGTTTCATCTTTCATGATTAAACTGATTATAAACCAAGTAGGTACATTAATACATAACTAGTAACCTACACAATCTAACTAAAATGTGCTATTCAGTATATCATATACAACTGTGTTTTATATTTTAGTTACATGTTTTTTATAGGTACTTACGCATGCTAATTATTGACCACTTAGTAATACGGTAGGTATTTAATAAGTGGCAATGTTTCAAAATACTATACTATATTGGTGTATAATGGTGTATTATTAATTATTTAGTAGGTATAGACTATATAGGTATATAGAAAAACCTACCTATTATATAGGTACTATTGATTTTAAATAACATAATAATTAATATGTAGGTATAATAACTAATAAGGTGTATACCTGTTATATTAGGTATTATTAGTATTATTATATCATCGTTGATTTATGTATGACCTCATCCTGGATATACTAATTTCACTCGTTTTAAATGAAAATCCTTTTTTCACCTATTTAGACAAAATTATAGTATGGTAGTTACTAGTCAGTGGTTGGGCTCGGTTGGGGTGCTATTTCGTTTGTAATGCACTTATGTTACGGTTAGTTCCCAACAAAATAGCTCGCAGCTGCTACTTTTTTTAAATGTGTTTTTAAACTAGTATTAAGTTTCAGTGCTATAGTTAAAATTTAGAGAACTAATTTTTTGCTCTATTTGTTAATCATTTTTAGTTCTAACATGTTTAATTAAAAGGACAAAATACCAAATATTTTCGAGAATTCAAAAAGCCCGAAAAAGTGTTAACGAAAATAAAATATTTTATTGTCTCATACTCTTATAGTCTTATCTATAATCTGCGTATATGCTTATTATAAATTTATATTAAACATACTTGTACTTTGTAGGCAGTTTAACTACTAATAGTTTCCATGTGTTACTTGTAATTTGTATTATCTTGCATTGCATAAGCCAGTATCGTCGCCAGAATTCTTTTCGGTGGGGAGGGCTTTTTTTGAGTGGGGGCTAAAATATTTTATTGTTAGAGCCAGGGTATTACCGGATATAGTAAGTCTGATATTTAGGAGGGTTTTAAGCCCTGAAGCCCCCCCCCTAACTACAGCAATGCCGCAAGCAGTGGGCATTATAATATTTAACATAGGTACCTACCTATACTAACATAATTTTATACAATTTATTTAACCATGGAATAGATTATTTTAAATTTTTAAATATTTTAATTGTCATCAAATAGGTTTCAACAAGGTAGGTAGCAACAAATGATAATGTTAACGCATACAGTACATTTTAACTCACTATAGTCTATACTCTATAGCAGCTTTTCCCAAACTCTTGTCTGGGCTGGCCCGGTAATTTATATTTTTCACCTTCCTGACCCACCAACATATTTTACATTTATCATTATGTAATAAAACGCAAAATAAAACACATTTGAATCATCTCTCCCGTCTATTTGACTTCTTCTTCATACTTTACAGTTTAAATTATCAAACGAAAATGGTAAATAACAAATTTAATATGAGAATTTCATTAAATTCTGAGACCCGGTATTAAATTTTGATGGCCCGGTAGTGGGTCGCCACCCACTATTTGTTAAACGCTGCTCTATAGTATGTATAGTAAACTACAAACTGTGTAAATTGTATAAAGAGTGTAGAGCGACGATGTTAATCGCTACAAATAAATTATAACTGTTGTCACTACAATTAGGACACTAATCCTGACCACTGTATAAATGGGTAAATTATAATTATTGAAATTTATATAATACTAATATGTATCTATCATAGAGAACACCAAATACCAATAACAGTATATCACTCAATCACTGTATGTCTATATGTACATCAAACTTTTTTTTCTAAACCTTAAAATGAATTAGGCCCTTTCCTTTAACAAAAAAAATTTTAAAAAATACCTATTTAATAATAATTAAAAAAAATTAAAATATTTACTGATCAAAATTAAGTTGCCTTTTTACTGGCACGAGAATTTTGTGCACATCCTATATTTTCTTTAATATCTAAAAACATCCCATCGAAGATCGTTTCATGAAAACTGTCGTTCGTTTAAACATTTTAAACTTCCGTGTATACAGTTAACGCTACACATGTTATGTATGCCTGCAGTCATGATAAACTGCAGGGAAAAAAATTAAGGAAGCACCTATATTATTATTTATTACCATTGTTGTATATGTCTGTGGTCTGTTGTTTGTTGTTGAAAATGATAGACACCTATATTTAATGTTAAGGTCTTTTGCGTGGGCCAATATTAAATATTAATAATGAAAACATAAAATCTCAATCATACCTTTTTTTTTTTTAAATAGAGTATTTACAATCTGTAGTTTATACATACGATAAGTAAATATGATAACAAGAAAAGGTAGGTAACATGAATGGCGTGAGGAGGGAGGTCCACCAATGTGGATACCCACTAACTTGGGTTAATCATACCTATAACCAAGTTCTCGATGTAAACAAAATTGAGGCTAAAATCTTTGTACACACTCCTTAAGTCATATGATCCATCTATATGAAGATGTTATTGAAATTTAATAGAAAAGGACCTACTTTACAAATAGTGAGAAACTGTCAACACAGACTTGATTATTTGGATTTTTTTTGAATATAATTTTGGCTTGGCAATTATAATCTTACCGAGACTTACATGTTAGTTTCGATCATATAATATGACTTGTTTAAAATCAGTATAATTTCCAAGGCCGTAGCCAGTGGGGGTTTAGGGTTCAGACCCCCCCCGAATTTTTTTTTTTGAAATAATATTGAATAGTTTTAAATGCCTATTATATTTTATACGTGTCACTGTGATTACAACACATAAAAAAATAAAACGGTTTAACGGTATATTTAATATTTATATTGTGTTAGATAAGCGATAACTAATCTTAATGTACTTTTGTAAAACCTAATGTATAGCTCACACAATATCTACAGTATCTAATCTTAATTAAGATAACCCCCCCCCCCCCCCCGAAATATTTTTTCTGGCTACGGCCTTGATAATTTCATATGGTAAACTTAAACCATCAGTATCAATGATTGACATTTTGTACACATTTTGTTGGTCAAATTGTTCCTGTCATGCACTGTGACAATCAACTACAATATCTGTAACTATTTTTTCAGCCAAATAGCTCGGTTGAATTTACTTGTATTCACTCACTGAATTATTAGACAGAAACAATTGTATTGTACGAGAAAAATTCTATCAGCATTTTCTTTTAAGATAAACCATGATTTCAGTAATTGTAACTTATGTTCTTTTCATTGCAATTGTACATTTTAAAACATTCAATTTGATTACATCATAATCTTATCCTATTCCAAAATCTAAGTTCATGCCATAAAGTGTGACCTGTTATTCTCTGATTTTTTATTTGTATAATATTTCCAAATTAATAACTAAAAATAAAAACACTCGTCTTATAGGTACTATAGCGATTTACAATGCTTCACATAAGTTTGATTGGAAGTAACGAATTCTGAAACACGCTAAATTCTGTATACCTACCTACTCACGACTGTTGTATTTATGCTTGAAATTTAGATGGTTCAATCGATATTTTCTCTCTGCGCTGCTCAGTTGAGTGTTCTCACTGAATACCCATTGCACCCCGACCCCAACGTTTCACTTATCGTTCACTCCAATTTCTCAACATGCCAACTTACTATTCACTACGACATACAAGTTAAAATACATAAAGGAAACTAAAATAAATAAATAAAAGAGAAAATAAATATATAGATGGAATAATTATGCGTACTTATTACTTATACTTACGTACATTATACCCTCATTAGTACACGTTGTTCTATGTGTATTACATTTTTATTACCACTTCTTATAACGAGGAAGAAAAGTGTTTTTCTCAAGTACAACACTATAAAGCAGAATAAAAATTGTTTTTATAATATACTCCTCAATTTAATTGTCAGCATACCTGCTTGAAGTATTCGTAGTATGTGTGATGTGCAAACTAACAGTCGAGTGTTGGAACGGTGGGCAAAAACGAAAACACAATAATATATAACACATATAGCCTATAGGTACCTATATAGACATCGGGTTATGTGTCTTTATAATTAAATTTCTCGATGTTTACACTGCACGACTATTACAATACTGACCGCGACGTCATGGGGTAATCACTAATAATACATTATAATAGGTAAACAAAACCGTTTATAGTATGGATAATATATTATATAGGTCTTGGGGCTGCATGCAGTAGACTGTTCTGAGTATGTTTATAGCCGCAGTAAGTATTATATAGTATTATTATAATACTTAAATATTGGTTACAGGTATACACTGCATAATTGTATGCGCTATGTGGCTGATCCGGACGTTTTGGAGACTTTGCGGAGTGTTCAACATCGACCTGTCGTACAACAAGTTTCAAAACGCGTACTCCGTGCTGCTGATTGCCACGTGCGTGTACAATTTCGCGAACGCTTCGCAGGTCATATGCAAATTGGACCACTGGTGCTCCACGTTCTCGTCGACGCTGACGGCCGTGTATGACAGGGTGTTGTCGTCCGCCGTGTTCTTCTCCCGGATCTCGGTCGTGTACGAATGCGAGCCGAACATGTCCAGGTATCGGGCGACCATCAGAGCGTTCGAGGCATACTCGCCACCGTCGGCCACGGAGCTCCGGCGGCACAGGGCGTTTTCACTGGCCGTGGTCACCGCGTGCCTGGTCATCATCGTGCCAACCAACGCGATCTGCATGTACTACTTGTGCCGCTACGAGCCCAACTCGGACGCGTCACTGTTCGTCTACCAGCTGTTCATGTACGTCCAAAACCTGAGCATGTGCTGCATCGAGACGCAATTCGTCGTGCAGTGTTTCAAAGTCTACACCAAGTTTCGCGGCATCAACGACGATCTGAAGAGGCTGAAAGACGAAAATATCAACCGCTCCGAGTACCCGTTCATGTCTCCAGCGTGCTCGTCGTCGCCGTCGTCGGCTATCGTGTACGACAAAGACTTTTACCGTCCGCGGTTCATGAGCCACCCGACGGCCAACACGGTCGAGTTGCTCAGGATCAAACATTGGCTGATCCGCCAGTCGATTGACGCTCTCAATAACCTGTTCGGCGTGCACATGGGACTGTCGGTGTTCTATCTGTGGCTCATGGCCCTGTTCGATATTTATTACGAAATGTTCTACAGATCTCGGTCGGGACTGCTGGTCTACAGTTGGCTGCTGCAATACACGTTGAGGCTGTTGTTGATCATATTGATGGCGCACTTTACCACAAAACAGGTACTGAAAATATAATCCCTCTCTATCTTTCCCTATCTTTTCGATATAAAAGCGGTGTATCTGCATTAAGTTCTGACATATAGTATATATATGTCAGAACTTCGTGATACACTCTATATACATATATGCACAATGTACATAATAGTTTAACACTTGTAAGTTGTAATTTAATTTTACCTAATGGGTACCTATATAATATCTTAAATATTAATACCTTTATAATATTATGTACAGGCACTCGAATCGAAATCGCTTATCACGGATACCAGTAACGTAATTATGGATAGTAGTACCAAAGAAGAGGTAATAATTATTAATATGACTATATGCGTGCTATACTAAGCAATACACGTGGGTGCGATGTCCTCATAATAATAAAGAAGGAAATAAAAACGATTATTTATTCCCCATTTTTTGGGGCCTTGAAATCAAAATGAAAAATTTTGGTTTTAATTATTTCACATATTATTATATCAACATTATCAGTATTATGATTTTTGATTAGATTTCGAACATCATTTTTCTTTCTTTTCAATTTAAAATTCTGATTAATTCTGATTTCTAACCACGAGAACCGGGTCATAGTTCCCTTGGCTATGTAACATACCTATAAGAAAACCTAATAGGTACCAGGTACCTACATATGAACAACATATTATAGATCTATCCTCTATTGTTGAATTTTAAATTTAAATCATTTGTTTTTAACTTTAAATCGATTTGTGTATTATTATTTTGATATAAATTATTGAATTAAATTTTATTCGATTTCAATATAAACTTTGAATATCATAAAAAAAAATTAAATTTTCATATTACTTTTGATTTCTTTAGATGCTTTTTTAGCGATTTTTATCGATATTTAACATTGATTTCAAGCCCTGATTTTTTATTTTCTATTACCTACAAATACATACAGCTGAAGGGCACCCGCATACAATTAGCTCACTAAGTGAAAAATACTTTGTATTTGTATATTTGATTATATATTTTAAAAGTCCAAATTATTAAAAATATTTTCTTAGGAGGTATGCCCGCTCTGGACGTCCCTCAAACAGCTGGTGTTTCATAGTTTTGGTCCCGTCACATGTCATTATCTTATCTTTAAATTAATATTTTTGAATGATGATTTTGAAATACTATTAAAATATTTGTTCTACACTCACAGTTTATAATATTTTATGGTTTACGTGAATTTGAAATACAAGACAAAAACCAGAATCTATAAATGATTATTTTTGCATTTTTAAATAACTAAATAAATCATTATGTCTAAATTTTAGAATTAATTAAATAAAATATTTTATATAAATTAATTTATCATTTAAGTTTTCACTAAAAAAGTGTTTACAGTTAATAAATAAACTAATAAAATATTGTTATTGGAAACAGCTATCTTTTTTATCATATGGAAAACAATTGAAACAACGTGTACCTACTGCATTTTGAAATTTTCAATTTTGGTAATTGTTTGAATACTTTCTATTTGTACTTTAATTTTCTTACTATAAAGCTATAAAATAGTATCCATTTATTAATCACCAAAATATTTTTAAAATATTATTTAAAATAAAATTAGTGTAAATTTATTCAATATTTCACGAAACCTACTCAACTGTTGTAAACTTCTCGGTATTCAATCTAAATAAATTATACTAACTTTTATTTATTTTATTAACCCTTTCCGTCACCCTGTCCTCTATAGAGGACACTTGATTTCCATAAGCTTTATAGACAAATATGATATGGAACTGTGTTCAGTCATAGTGTACTCTCTAGAGGACAAGTATATATTTCTTATTTGCCCGGTTGCTTCGCCTATTATTATCTTCATTATCTGAATTTTTAGTATTAATCTGCGTTATTCCTGGACAAGTAAACATGCTATTATTATACATTTTTGTTTTGTCATTTATCCTAATCGTTATCGCTTTTTAGTATTGTTGATTATTTTTATAAATAATATATGTATTTCTGAATTCAATCTATGCGTTAGATATTAAAAATTTTTATTCGATCGAACGTTATCGTGCGTTATGTACGTGTACTCCGTAAAGGACATTGTGACGCTCCGGTAACTCCGATAACTGTTTTATATTTTTTTAAAGTTGTATAAATATAATAAATATGATTCGTCAAGATCGCCTTAAATTATTAGACGATGATATTTTAAATATACTTGAAAATGGAGATGACTCCGACATCGAGGAATTTGCTAACGACGATGATTTGGGAAATAATTATTGTCACGAGGATTTAAAATTACTTGAAGGTAATTTATATTTTATACTAAATTATGTTACTTTTTACTACATTCTGTAATATTTTATTTCATACAATTTTCAATTTTAATACTTATGGTTTCTTTTTATTGTCAGACTTTTTAACTAATAATGAAGATTTTGATGATATGGGTGAAAATATTGAAGTCGAAATCGACGAAAACGCAGTTGAAGAAAATATAGTAGATAATATTCAAAATGTTGTTCCTACTTCCTCCGTGTCATCTAGCGACTATTTCACCCAACAAGATTTGACTGACAAAAAAAATGTTACTTGGATTCGTGGTGAATACATAACTCTACCTTTTGATATTTTTGAACCACATCTAAATATAACTTTCGACTTGTCTTCTCCACTTCAATTGTTCAGTAATTATTTTTCAGACGAATTATTAGAAACCGCTGTTTTTAACACAAATTTATACGCTGTTCGTAATAATGTACCAAACTTTCCTCCTACTACAGTAGCAGAATTGAAAACGTTTATAGGCATAAATATTTTGATGGGAAATCTTGGTTTACCACGAGTGCGTATGTACTGGGAGCCAAAATTCGCCGTCCCATTAATTTCGGAAAATATGACTTCAAATAGATTTTTTAAATTGAGAAATAATTTACATTTTATAATCGATAAAGACCCGAATACTAATGATAGATTTTGGAAGGTGAGGCCTTTATATGAAGCTATACGAAAATATTGTACTAGTTTACAGCTAGAATCAACATTCAGTGTTGATGAACAAATGGTCCCTTTTAAGGGACAATTAAATGTAAAACAATATATTAAAAACAAACCAACCAAATGGGGCGTAAAATTATTTTGTTTATGTGGAATATCAGGAATGATTTATGATTTTATAATTTATCAAGGATCTACCACGGAAATTAGGCCAGAATATTCTCAATTTGGACAAAGTGCATCTTTAGTAATGCAGTTATCCGAAAGAATTAATGTGCCCAACTGTACATTATTTTTCGATAACTATTTCAGTACATTTTGGCTGTTTGAATGGTTGAAAAATCGAAATATTTATGCTGCCGGTACAATTAGAGTTGATAGGTTTATGAAACCCCCATTTACTACCGATAAAGAAATTAAAAAACACCACAGTAGAGGCTACATGGAAAATTTAATTTGTAATACGTCTGGAGTGGTGTTAACAAAATGGTATGATAATTCAAGTGTAGTTCTGGCTTCAAATTTTTGTGGTATAGGACAAGTTGACCAATGTCGACGTTATGACAAAAAAAATAAAAAATATGTAGACGTTCAAAGACCGGAAGTTGTAGCCCGTTATAATGAAGGAATGGGTGGAGTAGACAAATGTGATCACTTAATATCGTTGTACAGAATTTTTATAAGGTCAAAAAAGTGGACTTTACGCCTCATAACTCATGGAATTGATATAGCTGCAGTGAATTCATGGATTGAGTATAAAAAAGAAGCAAAATCTTTAGGACTTCACGAAAAAAAAATCCTAGATCTTATACACTTTAGACAGTACTTGGCTGAAGCGTTAATTTTATCAGGTAAACCTGTTACAAAAAAAAGAGGTCGTCCTGGTAATAGTTCGTCCACATCTATTTCACCTACATCAACACCAAAAACTAAACAGCAACGACCAATTAATGATGTGCGATTTGATGATATAGGACATACACCAGTATTCCTGGATAAGAAAGAGGCTGGAAGATGTAAGAATTTTGGTTGTAAATCTAAAACGTATGTAAGCTGTAAAAAATGTAGTGTCAACTTATGTATAGCACGTAAGCAAAATTGTTTTGAATCATTTCATTCTAAATAAAAAATAGTTTTAAATATAATTTTGACTTTAAACCATGTAATGTTTTAATTTTAAACTTTTATTTTAATTCCATAGATTATTATTTAATAATTTGATAAATGTTTCTTAATAAAGCATATCTAAATTCATAAGAATCCAAATGATGTAGTATTTTTTGTATTATTTAACATAGATACCTTTACGTCATCTTGTCCTGTTGAGAGGACACATTATATCTCAGGATCAGCCTGTCCAAACAATTTGGGACCAACTTTAAAAAACTTTTAAAATTAAGCTTAATTCAAATTAGTTGAAAAAAAAATTTTTTTTCTTTAAATATAAATATATGACGGAAAGGGTTAAGCATCAATCGAAGCAAAGATCTGAGGTTCTATTGCTGAATGATATAGTCTCCTCTTCATGTATTTCATTTCATGGTACTGAATCTTTTGTCATTTATGTTACTTATTGCTTAGATAATAATGTACCTAAATTAAAGAGATTGAAATATCGCTAATAATATTATACATTTTTAATAAAATTAAATATAAATTCGACATCCGTAGTCTATATGGTGGGAAAGTATGATTTTAAATTAAGATTCTGATCATTATTATTTTGTTGACCCCTTTTGAGTGCCCCTTCACCCACACCTTGGGACGCTTTTAAAAAGTTGGACAATTATTGAAAAAAAACTGAATTGTTGCAAAAAAAACTTCCCATTGGAAACATATATTATTATTAAAACTGTGCTTTTAGGATTTAAGGTATATTACACACACATTTTTGTATTTCAATTTTTTATATTTCAGTTACAATTGTTCATAAATCAAATATGTAGTTCTACAACAGAATTTAATGCGTACGATTTCTTCACGTTGAATACACAAGTCATAAAATCGGTAAGTTACTTGACCAAAAAACCAAAAAAATTTCTGGAATTCAAATTATAATTTTAAACCAAGTAACATCATTATATTGTTTTAAAAGTTATAAAACAAATTAATATACTAAATAAAGACTAAAATTGAATCCCACCAACATTTTAATATTACCTATACTAATAATTTAATAATTACTGCTTTATAGACAATTTAATTATTTGTTATGCAGGCTATTGCTGCTGGTGCTACATGTCTTGTTATTTTGGTACAATTTCACTCTGAGAGAAAATGAATTCACTTACAATAAATATATCTACATAATACAATGATATTTAAACACAAAATGCACGTGACAACAAAATATACGCAACAACTAATGACTATTATATTTAATCAATTTTGCAAAATCTTTTGTTTTCCATCCTACTTCTTTTGACTTATTTCCTTCTTCGAAGAGTGGTGAGATACCTTCTGCAGAAAGATAAGATCGTCGGCTTTTACATGAATAAAATCAAGAGGTAGGTACTTATGTTGAGTTATGTGTAATATAAAAGATTGTCGTTTACTTAATGTATTACGCATTTACGCGTCTACTTTTTTCAACATTTATTTGTTTACTAAAATAGATACGCTTACTTTTCCGGGAAGGACTTGATCGAATTACCAAAACTTCATTGTGCTTTTTACTCATAAGTTATTACCAAGTCTTTGAATGATGTAATTTTCTAATAAACGATTATTAATTTTTCTATCTACTCAATTGTCACACTTACCGTTAATTAATATAAGGATGTTGAAATTGTATGTATAATATTATATCCTATTACTTTTTTTTATGCTCTTAATATTATGAATTTTTTTTATTGTGACGTTAGATTTAGAATAATATTAGTACAAGTTAGTATTAGGTATAAACTTAAAAATAAGAACTACACTTCCTACAAGGCTCCAACACAAGCACTAGCTTGTACACTATGCAAATATATTTGATTAGGTACTAAACTTCTAACAATATAATTTTAAAATATATATATTATATTTTATATTGTGTCTGAAGATTTTAGAATAGTGTTACGACGTAGGTAGTCTGAATTGTCAGAAGAATGAGTTCCTTCAGCGGACCGCCTTACGGTATATATAATATATTACCGTCTCTTATTATAAGAGTGGTGGCTACTTGTTACTCATAGATGGATGTATTACTATGCTGAGCTGATATCAAATTGGTATTCGAGTGGGTTGCCCTTTGATGGCTCCGAACTTCGGAGTCCGAAGTCCGTCTTTTTCCATAATATACTTAGTACCTACCAATTCCACGATGCAGGTCACTAAAATATGGACACATTAAGATAATAATATTGAGTAGATACAAAATGTGAGATAAAAAAGGTGGGCAAGTGGATGTCGCTCTGCTGTACAGTAGGTTACAAGAGGGACACTGTATAATGGATGGAATTAAATTTGAATTCAATGATATAATATCATTGTATAAGAAAAACGATTCTGAGCGGAGGCGGTATGTCAGTCTAGGTATATGAACATAAATATTTTTAAAAAAAATTGACTTATATAATAAATTCCAAATTAATCATATCAGAACATTCAATATCCACTAGGCATTTGGTAGTTAAATGCGTTATACATCAACAACAAACCGTATTTTGTAGATTTTTTGGTTACAGTATGAACTATTTATGAGAATCTTTGTTTTAAATTTTCAATCCTTAGTTATAAAAACTGAACATTTTATAATTTTTAATTACAGTGATTAATAATTTTCGAGATTTTGATAAATTTTGTCAAAATTCGAATTTTAAATGCTTATTAAAAAAAATTGTGCCTATGTATTTTAAATATTTTACAATTGCTATTGTAAAAATATATCAGGAGCCTTGTATTAAATTTTCAAGCTTTTTCGCCCAATAAATAAAATTTTATTGGTATTTATAGAAAAAAAAACTAAGAAAATTGAAAATTGACAATGTCCGTAAACATCTCAAAAAGAGTCAAATTATTTTCAAAATTTTATCGTGTTTAGAAAATGCTAATATCAACATTCAGTGAAATTTTCAAGTGTCTACAGCCATTCGTTTTTTAATTACAACAAAAACAGAAAATCGTTACATGAGAAATCGAGTGAATATCAAATGTTGTAAAAATATGAATTTCAAACGCTCATAAAAATTTAATTTGACTTTCTAGTAGACATTTTTTTTTTTACAAAGGTAGACAAACTTATGAGGAATCTTGTATTACATTTTCAAACCTTAGATTTCAAAAGAAAAATTTTTACGAATTTTAAACTCAAAATAATTTGCTAATTTTCGTGATTTTTCCGTATTTTGTCAAGATTTGAACTTTAAATGCTTATAAATAAAAACTGTGACTAACGATTTTTAATTTTTTTCATATGCCTTTGAAACAATATACTAGGAGCCTTCTATTAAATTTTCAAGCTTTTTTAACCAACAAATAAAATTTTATTGATATTTATAGAAAAAAAAACTAAAAAAATTGAAAACTGACAATGTCCGTAAACCGTTCAAAAAAAGTCAAATTATTTTCAAAATTTTATCGTGTATAGAAAATGCAAATATAAACAACCAGTGAAAATTTCATGCATCTATGGTCATTTGCTTTAGAGTTACACCAAAAACCAAAATCAATTTTGACAAAAATCGATTTTGCGTAAAAATTCCCGTTTTTCCTTAATTTTTCTTTTGTTTTTCACGTCGCTTTTGAAAACTACTGGGAAATGTTTACTTTTGACCCCCCAAAGTACCAACTAGATTCACTTTCCTATCAGAAAAGTTGCTGTTGAAGAAAATCGAAGCAGTTTTACTGCCCTAAAAGGTGATGACAGACACAAAAATAAAAAAAAAAATAAAAAAAAAAACACACATCATTGTAAAATCAATACATTCATCGCTTCGCTCAGAATCTAAAAAATTTTAAAATAAAATCATTTAATTTTTCACAGTTAAGAACAGAGTTATTTTTAGATAGATTTTCATTTAGCGGAGTAGATTTCCGAAACTGGAGAACGGATTTTGTTGTTAGATTTACATTGGCTAGGAGAAGTGCAGTGAAGATTTTCAGAACTTAACGTATCTTCACTGCACTTCTCCTATCCTAGGTGAATCTAACAATCCCATACAACAAAATCCACTCTCCGGTTTCGGAGATTTACCTATCTCACCATATGAAAAGGAAAATGATTTTTTTTTGCTGGGTTCACAACGACGTTTTTCTGGATTCAAATTGTTATACCGCTTGGATGTAATATCGGATCTCTCATGTATTAAAGCTACCTTAATTAGGTACTTTCTTTCTCATTATTACTAAACTAAATTTTTACTATTTTCTACTGAACACAAACTCGCGAACTATGTATAGTATATTCTACTATATAGTCTATAATCTAATATCTCCTCAATAAATTAATTTGCAATTAATAATTTCCTTAAAGTACAATTTTGGTTTAATCATATTGTAATAAAATACATTTACATACAGTTAATAAATTTCTAAAAATTAAAAATCAAAGAAGTTTACATGCCCACAAGGTCGTAACCAGAAAAATATTGATGGGGGGCGTTTGAGTATAAATAGGTTATATTATATAATAAAATATGAAAATCAAGGCCATAGCCAGAAAAATATTTAAGGGGTGGGGGGGGGATTAAATTATAAATATGTTATATTATATAATAAAATATGAAAATATAAAAATATTATTTAATTTAAATAAAGATCAATTTAAATTGAATAATATTTTTATTTGCTTTTTGAAATACATTTGCCCGCGAGTATACCCATGTTTTTCAACAATTTTTTTTTTCATTTATTAAGGTACGTATTGTTAATTTTTGTATATTGCAAAATATTTAAGTTTACAAGCTCTCCGTAGGACACCTTTTAGGTGATACCTCAAACACTTTCGGAAATTATAGGGCTTAAGTTACTTAACCAATGAAACCACCAAACTTCAGAAATAAAACGAAATTAGCGGGAACGCCGGGAATACAAACTAATGCAGATTTGGTATAAATAATGATTAGGAGGGGGGAAATGTTAACATAATATTAATTTTACACGATATTAATGATATAATATATTAATATAGTCATATAGATATTATCATGAACTATAGAATAATTTTATCTTAGTTCGCGGTATTGTTCAAGGTGTATCAATCCACCTAGGTATTATTATTTATTAATATTATTATCGAAGACTGTTGAATACAAAAAATGACAGTAAATCTACATTCCTGTGTACATATTCTCTATGTAACCGAATTTTGTACATTTATACACGTAGACAAGTAGACAGGTTGTTGTTACTTGTTGAGTTTATGAGTTAATCTTCAGTTCATCAGTTTTCAATCTGCTGAGAATTAAATATTATATTTAACAATATTAATAAAATAATAACACAACTACACAAGTTTGTTTTATAACCACAGAATAAATTATAACTATATAACTATAATATTATCACACGCTCAGTTCTTAGTCAATAGCATTTTTAAGAACTCACTAGTTTGGCAGTTTGGCAACACTGCAATCGTTCAATAGATAAAATATGTTGAAAATGATAAAATGATATAATTTTCGTGCAATTTTTTTATACATTTTAAAAAGTAAATAATGGTTTATTTTTGTTTAAAGTTACCTAAATCGTACTAATGTGTAGTTTTTAATACTATCCTGCTACCAAAATTAATTTCATTGATGACGTGTTGTAGCAAAATTGTTTGTAAGTGTTTTTTCCGTTATTTAGTTTCTAGTATTTCAATTGGTTTTTTTTTGTTTCTACAGTTTTACAGAATTCAACTCTTAGATAATGGCAAGTGTCAG